AGCAAATAAATAATAAGACTAAATCCCCTCCCCCACACTTATTATCAACATTGTCCCCAATGTTGAATAAAAATTACAGAAAAAGGGTTATTGAATGAGAATATGGAATAAAAGAAAAAAAAAGAGAAAAAAAATGGAACAAACACACCTTAGGTTGCCTCCCAAGTAGCGCCTTTGTTTATCGTCGTTGGCTCGACTTATGACATTTCTTTAAATTTCCATCGTCTTTTTGAGTACCTTCGATGATTATGAGTATTCAAAGAAATAGTCCTGTCATGCAGACTAGTACTCAAAGATGATTTATTGTTTTTCTTCTTTATTTTCATTATAAGCAATTTCATCAAATTTAGCAAACATCAAAGATTCAACAAAAATTGCAAAATTATCATCACTAGGAGATTTCATGGTATCATAAATATTAAAAGTCACAAGTTTACCATTAGACTCCATAGTAAGCATACCACTATGAATATCAATTTTTGTTTTTGCAGTTTTTAAGAATGGCCTTCCTAACAAAATATGATTATTATTTTCCATATCAAGCACATAAAAATCAGCAAGAAAAACCAAGTTATTAACTTCAACAATCAAATCCTCAATCACACCCCTAGGATATGTAGTAGATCCATCAGCCAATTGAATTATTATACTAGATTTATTCAGGGGTCCAAGATTTAAAGAAGTATAAACAGAATATGGCATGACATTAATAGAAGCTCCTAAATCTAACATAGCATTTTCAAATTTCACCCCACTTATCATGCATGGAATAGTAAACATACCGGGGTCTTTGCACTTTTCAGGAAGATTGCTTTGACTAGCCATAGAGACATTCTCTTGCACTTTCACTTCCTCAATTCTTTCATCATTTCGTTCTTTTTTCATAGTGCGTACCTCTTTTAGAAAATTTGCATAGCGAGGTACTTTTTCCATAGAATCTAAAAATGGTTTATTAGCCTCACATTCACGAAAGGTCTCATACAGATCATTATTTGAGTTTCCTCTTATTGGTACTAAAAGAGCTTGAGGAAATGGGGGTACTGGTTCATAATCAGAAAAAGAGGAAAGCTTACCTTGGGACTTCTCTTTATTGTTGGCAATGATTCCTGCACTTATTTCCTTGTTTAAATCAACATTCTTTTCCAGCGACATACTTTCAACACTAATTGCATTTATATTCTCTTTTGGATTAACCACCGTTTGAGAGGGTAGTTTGGCGGAACTCTGTGCTTCCAACCGACTTACCGTAGTTGCTAGTTGACCCATCTGTCTTTCCAAATTTTGAATACTAGCCTTTGTTTCTTGTTGGAATATTTGTGTTTCTTGTTGAAACTGCAGAGTGTTAGTAGCAAGAGATTTAACAATATCTTCTAGATTCATACCTGAGCTAGAGCTTTGGACCGGCTGTTGTCTTGCAGGAAATGGTTGTCTATACTGCTGAAAATTGGAACGATTCTGAACAAACTGGTTCCCTTGTGAGTTCCCATAGCTAAGGTTTGGGTGATCCCTCCATCCAGGATTATATGTATTGGAAAACGGATCATACTTACCTTGAGGTTGTCCAGGAAAACCTCCAGCCATGTTGACTTGTTCAATAGGTTCTTCTTGAAGAGTTGGGCAGGCATCAGTTTGGTGCCCAACTACCGAGCAAATTCCACATGCTCTTACGGTTTGCATATTGCCTACTGCTAATTGACGAACAAGAGTAGTTAAACCAGAAATTTGTTGTTCAAAAGCAGAAATATTTACCTCATTCACTTGCTTAGACGGTTGGGCAAGTCTATTGCCGAACTGTTGAGAATTTGCAGCCATGTTTGCAATTAAATTTCTTGCAGCGTCTGGTGTTTTGTCAACTAAAGCACCACCGCTTGCAGCATCAATCATGCTTCTATCCATTGGAAAAAGTCCTTCATAAAAGTATTGAATGAGTAATTGATCACTGATTTGATGGTGTGGGCAGCTTGCACAAAGCTTCTTGAAACGCTCCCAATATTCATACAAAGACTCTCCATTGTTTTGCCTTATACCACAGATTTCCTTTCTAATATTGGCCGCCCTTGAAGCTGGGAAATATTTTTCAAGGAATAGTGTCTTTAAGTTATTCCATGTGGTGATGCTTCCGGAAGGTAAATAATATAGCCAATCCTTCGCTGAATCTTTCAAAGAAAATGGGAAGGCTCTCAACTTGATTTGTTCTTCAGTAACCCCTGTGGGTTTCATACTTGAACACACCACATGGAATTCCTTTAAGTGTTTGTGAGGATCTTCGCCTGCAAGTCCATGAAAAGAAGGCAAAAGATGAATTAATCCAGACTTTAGTTCGAATTGCACATTGGCATCCAGAGCAGGGAAAGTGATGCATAATGGTTGTTGATCTAAATTTGGAGCTCCAAACTCTTTTAAGGTCCGATTTTGAGCCATGGGTTCCTATTCTAAATCAGAGTTGGCAGAATCGGTAGCCAGATCACTAAACTCTAATTTCCTCAAAGCTTGTTTCCTCCACCTGCGTACAGTTCTTTCAATTTCTGGATTGTATGGCAAGACTTCTTTGTTAGCAGATCCAGTTATAGGCATAAACCGTTAAAGATAGTGTAGCAATTATGTAAAAGTAACGAAAGAAAAGAAAATTATATTTTTGATGATTTTTTTTTTGGGACAAATTAACGAGAAAAACAAACAAACAAACAAATAAATAAATAAACAAACACAAAATAAGCTAGAAAATCTCCCTGGCAACAGCGCCAAAATTTGGTGAGCTGTCGTAGGCTCCCAAATTAAAACCTTACAAACGTAGTAGCGGGAGTAAGGATCGATCCCACGAGGAGTAACTAGTTTAACTTTTGTCCTCAAATTAAAGGTAGGGGGTTTGGAATATATCGAGAATAAAGATAAAATAAACGAGAACTTAAATAAACAAGAAATTTACCAGGACTATGTGGTCCAATGGTACCCGGGTTGGACTTCCATTTGGAAGGTTGTGAGTTCAAGCCTCAGTGGAGGCATTATTAGCTCTTTGTGTTTCAATAGGTTGAGAAAGTATATGAACAGATACTACTATGTAATAGAGCTAGTAGCATTCAAAAAAAAAAAAATAAACAAGAAATTTAATTGAACGAATAAAGCAATAAAAATAATATATCGAAAACACTTATAATAAGAAACCTTGGTTAGTAAAGATCCACCACCGGAATTCAACACTGATCATTGATTAATAAAGTAATTAATATGCAATTGAATATTTGTCGTGAAATTATTTCCTTTATGTTTTCCCTTAGTTGTAGGTAAATAAAGCACAAGCGGTTTAATTACCCATAACTACTAAATAACCTAAGACAAGCGCTATAGATTTAATTTAATAGCAGCAATAGGAACTAGGAAAACCGACAAACTAAATAACACAAGCACAAGCGGTTGCATTTAATTTAGGAAAATATTCTACCCGAGTCCAATTATCACTAAGCCGTCAATAATTAACCCAGTTGCTACTGAATATTAGAATAATTTGTAGCACAACATTATCTAATATAGCAAATAATTATATCAAGTAAATAACTAGTAGGCCTCCCTAGCAATTAAATGATACAACTATTCAAATAACTTAGAAGAATATTTAATACCCAAATGCATAAAAATTATATAATAAAAATAAATAAATAACCTTACAGCGTTATGAACTCCGGGGCTTCAATTCACTAAACCAACTAGAAATTAACCACAAATGGACATTGATAACAATTTCAACAAATACTATAGAGGAGGAAAGAATGAACGATTTTACAATAGGAAATTCCTACTATTTATAGCATTCTAAAAATAGGCCAAATCAATTTCCACCATTTGCTTTTCCTATTCTTTAGCTTCACGTCCGAAGACTCCCACTATTTGCGCCAAAATGAGTGGATGGAAACTTCCAATTCTTCTATGCACTTCCTGCTGCTTTGACCAACATAATCAACATAATACTAATTTATAATATATATATATATATATATATATATATATATATATATATATATATATTAGTAAGTATTATATTTTATATATATGTAGTATGTAGTACGTAGTAAATACTATTAATTATATATTATATATTATATATTATATATATTTATATTATTAGTAGTACGTAATATATATGTATTCTATATATTTGTTTATTAGATATATTATATATTATTATTATTATTATTATTATTAGTAGTAGTAGTAGTAGGATGGTACGTAGTATATACATATATATTACAATATATTATATATTTATTTAGTATTATATTTATTTCATAAATTGTTAAACTCCAAAAATAACTAATTGTTAAATAATATGAAATAATTAATACGAAAATATTATAAAAATGTACCTAAAATATGAGTGTAAAATGCTCATATCACCCCCCCTGCAACAACGCAGCATATGGTTTTGCCTACACAGATGATCAAAAGCGGTTTGTTGTCCTTCTATCTTATCTCGAGGATGAGATTATTAGGCAACTCTTGAACATGTCAGGAGAAGAATTTGGAATTCCAAGCGATGGGCGGCCTATTACACTGCCATGCGATGCAGCATTCGTGAACTACATCATTTCACTTCTTAGCTGAGGATTATCCAAAGAACTTGAGAATGCATTACTCATCTCATTCACTTCATCTCGATGTTCAATAGCTTCGTTGCTTCAAGCAGGGTGGAGAAATCTGGAATTGCTAGTTTGCTGATATAAATAGGGAAAAGACTAAAATATGAATATTAGACCATGTAATTCTCAAAATATGACGCATTTCGGTGATTGACTAATTTATGAAAAGGACGTTTGGGTCTTTGGGACATGTGTTTTAGGCATGTCCCAAACTTCCTTAATTAATTTTTTTTAACCGCTCACTCAGACGCAAGTCACACTTGCGTCTGAGGTATTTAGATATACTTCCATTATACAGCACAACGCATGTAAGAGATGCGTTCATCTCTTATGGCTTCCCTGTCAAGAATATTCCCGTTTGCATCGACGATTCTGGCGTCCAAAACGTTGTCAGCTCCGAGGTCGTACTTCCTCATCATGGAACCGTAGGCGCCGCCGGTAGTGTGTCTGCCGATTCCCAGGCTGGAGCACAGCCCGGCGGGGAAGCCATGGACCTTACTCTTCTCCGAAATCCTGTAATACACTTCTCCGACCGTCGCCCATGCCACGCCGTGTTCGCCTTTATATCCACCTCCACCTCGCGCAGCCGGGCGAGGTCCACAATCACGAACGGCGACTCCATCTCGGAAATATACGACAGCCCTTCGTAATCATGGCTGCCGCTGCGCACTCTGAGCTCAAGCCCAAGCTGTTTAGTGCAAACTGTTGACTCAAAGTATTTTGTCAAAGTTATGTGCAAAAAGAATTCCAGTTCTATAAAGGAATATCAGTACTAAGAGAAATAGTTATTGAAGAATACTAGTTCTAAGGGGATTTGTTGTTGAAGATTTTCTAGTTCTATTTTGATTAGGAATAGTTTGTTATTCACGAATCTGTTAGGAATAGCTACTATAAATAGGGGATGTCCTTTATTTGTAGATCTCAAGCATTCAACATTAATCTTGTGAGGTACGAGAGTCTTTGAGAATAGGATACTAAATTCCCCTAGAAAGTAGTACATGTGTTTAGGTTTCAATAGTTTGGTAGGAAAGATCATTCTATTGTGTAATCTCAGGTTCCAAACAGTGTACTTTAAATATTGAGCTTTTAGTGGATTTAGGCAAGTTCTCAAATTGAGAAGTGCCTCGCAGATTAGGGTTGTTTGCCCGAACTGCGTTACAGATCGTTTGTGTTACAACGTCAGTTTCAACATCACTGTGTGCTGCGCTTTACAAATTTTCACAAACCACCGCCGCCTGCGCGTGGGCCTCGGAAAGCGGGGTGAATATAATCTGCGGCTTCTTGACAAACTGCTCAAGGCACCGGAGATTCTGGGCTGTGGAGTTCAGAACCGCTGTGAAAGCCGAAGCATTCTGCGGGGTGAAGAAAGCCTCGGAGAACGGGACAGAGAAGCCAGATTTGGTGGAAATGCATCGGTAGAACTTATCGTACAGTGACGATGAATCTGCGAAAGTCGCCGGAGTTGACAGCAGAACTATGAACACTGAACAGTGAGAGAAAAATAGACTTTAACGAGATGCGCTCGACATATAATACATCAAACACATCTCTTACATGCGTTGTACTGTATAATGGAAGCAAACGTATAAATACCTTAGATGCAAGTTTGGGAAGCGGCTAAAATGCATGTCACAAACGTCCTTTTCATAAATTAGTCAATCATCTAAGTGCGTCATATTTTGGGAATTATATGGCCTAATATTCATATTTCAATCTTTTTCCCGATATAAATTTCAGAATATTTTTTTGTAAATGAGGAACTTGTCAGCTGTAGCTCAACACATCATGTGAAATATACAGAAATACAAAACTTGATATACAACATTTTCAGGTAATCTTCTTAGAAAATTGAATTTATTCATTGTTGTCAACTATAATTTGTTGCAGTATACATTATAAGTATAGTTCTTTACATTTATCCTTTATAAGTGCTTATTTGTATTAACTCTATTCTAATGATATTCAACACTATGTGCATAAAACTGCGAAGATGAATATCTTGGTCATAGGCATCAATGCTTGGCAAAGCAAGTCTTGGAACGAAGGGTCCTTCAAGTATGATATTGGAATGATAAAGCGTTTCTTTTCACTCTCCCTGACATAAACGGCAAAATGCCCCTTAGGAACTTCACTTTCTCTATTTGTTGTTGAAGAAGATCTTCTAAGGCCTTGCTTAGCACGGAGAATGTGCCCCATACCAATTTCCATCTTCAAATATTTTTTTCTTCTTTGAAAGTAGAAGCTATAAACACAATTTGTGAAGGAAGAAAGTAGGATTTGTGTAAAGGAAGAACTTGAATTGAGTGGAGTGAGCATCAACTCAAATGCATTTATATATATCCTTTAGGAGGAGGATTGAGTGCCTATGAGAAATTTTATGAAGGGAATGAAGCCAGCTAGAACAATTGGACAACTCTACCACATGATTTTGTCTTCAAAAATTCATCAAGAATTTCACTTCTTAGCAGAGGTTTATCCCAAGAACTTCCTACCAGTGTTCATCAGTTTCACTGCACCAAGAAAACTGGAGAAACCAGGAACTGCTAGTTTGCTGATATTAGTATCAGTAATTCCTGTAAATGAAGAACTCATCAGCAGTAGCTCAATACATCTTGTGAAATGTACAGATATCCAATATATACTTGATATATATGTTCTATTTATTCATCTTGGGCATTCTTCCTAACTTCTTAGCTTTCTAAATATAATAATTATGATTAAATTGTTGGTTATCTGATCTTGCAAACTAATCAATCAATTAACAAATTAATATACCTCATCTTTTTGTTTTGTGGCAGCAGGTTGGAGGTTGATTCCCATCTTTTGTGCCATGCCAGATGTATGTAATATATAACTTCAGCTGCAGATCTACATTTTCTGCGATTATTCTGAATCACTATATATGATGTTCATCAACTCGTTCATTTGATTTCAAACAATAACCCTACAAGGCACAAGAAAAAGTGATATTTAAGAAGAAATTGAAGGAGAAACTATTTAAAAAAGAGAAAGATATTTAATGCCACTGTCAATGTTGGGATTGTCATCCCTAATCGTGACAATGGGGTGTAAGGAATCCTTTTCTTTGTTCTTGATGTTGATGGGGTTCTTAGGATTGTCATCACTAATGCTGATAATGGAGTAGTTTAAGGAACCCTTTTCTCCATTCTTATTATGCACGAAGTTGACATGTAAAGGTTATTATTAGTTTCAATTTTTGTTAGGATCATCTATGTTGTTTTCAGGCAAACCAGTTGTGCAGACTCTGTGTAGATTCTGTGCAGCCCTGGAACTTGGGTATGGTTTTGAAAATCAGTGAGAAAATTGGGGTATAATAAATGTAAAGATGAGCTTGAACTTCAAAATAAACTCTTATCCTGCAAACCAACACCCTCAGGTTTAATATCTTTTCCTTTACCATACTTTTATAGTAAATCAATCCAAGCTTCAAAGATGATTATCTTGCCAACAAAAAGTGAAATTTCTTGTCTCGGGGGCCTATATCCCAGCCCGACAAGATTATGGAGGGTTAAATCACGATGATTCAACGGTCCATTATATGGGAGGACCGGGAGCCACCCCACAAAAGGGTGAAACTCTTACACTACGACTGTCAGGGCTCGATCCTGCGTGCTTGCCCACAATCTGCCATCCAGAGGACTACGCTAATAGTTGTGATATAGCCTCCACAGTAAGCAAGGGACATTTGGATTTCACTCATAGCTTACATACAGATCAGCACAACATACCTAAAATATTGACTCTTCTCAAGATTATTCCTTTATCTGAACTTGCAAAGTTTTCTTTTATCTTAACTTAAGTATATATAACATGTCTTGAATTTCCTTGAAGAAAGTGAAGATCTTGAAATATATATCCAATAAATTTTATATATAAAATAGTGTCTTACCTCCATAAGATAAAGAGATAATTTACTCAAAGTATATTCAGTGCACAAGTTGGAATAGGAATGTAGGTTTGTATCAAAATTTGACAGACTTACTGAAATTTTCAGCAGATAAAAATCTATACAAATGAACTGTACAGGAACTCTCTTCTATGCAAAATTTTGTATCACTAAACTAAGTTGTCTAGTCTCTCAAGATCTCAAATTAGAGATGATATCAAGAAAGGTATCCTCCAAGCAAGGTATTGTGAGTCCACCCATTGGATGATCATATCCGAATTCGTCCTCAGCTTGGCACAACAAGTCTTGGAAAGAAGGGTCCTTCAAGTACGATACTGGAATGACAAAACGCTTCTTCTCGCTCTCACCAACATAAACTGCAAAGTGCCCCTTAGGAACCTCACTTTCTCTGTTTGTTCTTGAAGAAGACCTTCTGAGGCCTTGCTTAGCACGGAGAATACGAGTCATACTGATCGCCATTCTGAGATGTTTCTTCTTAAAGCAAAGGCTGTGTTAATCAAAGATGCTATAGAAACAATTTTGGAATGCAGAAACCAAGGTAGGTATTTTGTAGGAAATATGTGAGTGGGTGAATACCAATTCAATTCTATATGTGTTTATATAGATCGTTTGGGAGGTGGATTGAGTGGCTAAGAGAAATTTGGATGGGTAGGCAGCCAGCTAGCAAGATAAGAGACATTACCACACAGTTTTGTCTCCCGAAAAATCATCATGAAATTATACAAACAATTTGGTAGATAAAGACCTGCCTTTGAACATCATTCCCCACATGCTTCAATGAAATTGAACAGATAGAGAAAGCTCAACTACTTGTGTCATTCCAAGAAAACTAGCCAAATGAGAGATGGAAAGTAAATGGAATTCAGCCATTTGGGAAGCATAACCATGTGGTTCCTCATTTATGTATGGCCACACTCTAGATATATCCCATATATATATATATTTGGGGTTGAAGCTAAAAGGCCCCATACAACTAACCATGTGGTTCCTCAGTGTCAATCATGTGGTTTTGCCTCCTCAGCACTTTAAATGGATCACTTCCATATTCATTTTGATCATCAAACACTGCAATTCATAGTCCAACAAAGATTTAAGCTTTCTACACATCTTATTCCCTCCATTCAATCTTTCTATATATTTTCTAAGTTAATACCATGATCAGCTCCAAGAAGCTCATCAAGCTGGCCAGAAGGTGGCAAAAATTTGCTGCCATCCAAAGAAAGAGGATTTCATTTCCAAGTCTATATGAGGATGCAGATAGCTGCACTACTTCTTCTGCAGTTAACAAGGGTCATTTCACTATCTACACTGCTGATCAGAAGCGGTTTGTTGTCCCTCTATCATATCTCGAGAATGAGATCATTAGGCAACTCTTAAGTATGTCCGAAGAAGAATTTGGACTTTCAAGCGATGGGCCTATTACACTACCGTGTGATGCAGTCTTCATGGACTACATCATTTCACTTCTTAGACGAGGTTTATCCAGAGAACTTGAGAATGCATTGCTAATCTCAGTTACTTCACATCGGTGTTCATCAGCTCCGTTACTCCAAAACCAGGAATTGCTAGTTTTCTGATATTAATCTCAATAAATTTTGTAAATGAGGATATTAGTTGTAGCTCAATACATGAAGTGAAATGTACATACATAAATCCAATACAGAAATACTTGATATCCAAAATCTTCAGTATTCTTCTTAGAAAATTCAAATATATTCATTGCTTTCATTTTCTCCTTAAATCTTCAGTTTGTTTCAATACAGTTATACCTGTGACAAGTGCTTATTTGAATAAATTTTATTCAAAAGCATTAAACTTTATAATTGCCTAATCTGCCACTTCCATTTCGGGCCTAGCATTGCTCCGCCAAGAATAAGCAGAAGGCAGATGTAATTTGAGCCATATGGCCAGTTTGTTATCTCAATTTTAAACAGTTCTGACCATCAACTGCAATAGTGCCATTAGAGAATTACTAATCTGGCACCATTGTGTGATGGTTAACATGGAACTTTCACCCTGACCACACTATTTGCCTAAACCTGCAAAGATGAATATCTTGGCCATAGATGTCAAAAACCATGATTAGTTCCAAGAAACTCATCAATTTGCCAATGAAATATAATGGAAGATATTTGTTGCTGTCTAAACGAAGAAGATTTCATTTTTAAGACACAAGGACTGTGTCAATAGTTGTGGTAAATTCTCTGCACTACATTTTACTGGTAGCTTCATTTTATTTTTCAATAATATAGACTGTTCTCAAGATTATTCTTTTTTTTTTTTTTTTCTGAGCTTGCAAAGTTTTATTGCTTAACTTTTAGTGTAGAATATGCCTTGAAATTTGTCACGCCCCACTTCTAGAACATGACCCGGTCGTATCGTTACGTGAAGACCTGTAACAATACGAAGCCTAACCATACATACCTCTCAGAATCTTCATAATAACACTTGAATATACAATAATTCCACAACCCAAAATGACAAAATATAATCGACTTGTTCTTCCCAAAAACTCATCAAATCTACTATTAGATATTTAGAATCAAGAGTAGTATGTCCAAAATGCATCACAAGCACCAAAACCAAGCACAATGGTCTACTAAAAATACAAAGTGTCAAAGGGAAAGTCTAAATAAACAAAAATCCATGATAAGCTCCAAAACTAGGACTAAGTCTCCAAGTTTCAAAAGTCACCTTCGAGACCCCACCACTTGTGCTCGTGCTATTCACATATCCTTAACTACTCTGAAACATGAGGAAAATACAAATAATGAGCTAATGCCCAGTAAGTGGTACTCCTCTCAACCCCGGATCAAGTAGCCCCAATAAAATACAAAAAACTTTAGAGTAATAAATAGATGCAAAACTCAATCCTTAAATTAGATCAAAATCATAACATACTTCCATCATACTATACACAAATTCCCAAAACGAAAAACTTTAGCTACATGGGCATCAACATCATTTCATAATACAATACTTTCAAAAGCACCAGTCATTCCTTAACATATGACTCATTGGCAACCTACAGCCACTATTATAACCGGTGGCAAAGGCCATTATCGGCACAATAGTTTAGAAAGACTCGACGATTCGGAATGAGTCAGGCTCGACGATTCAGAATGAGTCGGATAGAACGTTCCAACAAATAATTCAAAAGTCTCGACGATTCGGAATGAGTCAAGCTCGACGATTCGAAATGAGCAAATAGGAACGTTCCAAATCGAACAAAACAAACAACAAAATGTAGGTTGCCTCATGAGTTTGACCGAACATTCAAAATAGTTCTTACAATCAAATAGCCCAATGTAGCAAAGATCATTTCCTTAAAAATCACATAACAAAGTACATAATTTATTGTACAGAAATTTTCAAGTCACATATTTTCTCAAGATACATAATATTTCCAATTATGGATAATGAATTTATCAAACTAAGAAATATGCAAGGTATAAACCATTCTCAAAATAATAATTTTCTTAGTACATAACTCTTTAAAAATCATAGAATGGTTTATTAAACCAAAGTAATTTTAAAGGAATTGAAATGGCTTAATTGGAAAGAGCTTAAATTAATAAACATGAGGTTAAGAGTTCAAGTCTCACTTTAAATAAATAATTCATTTTATAAGCATATATTACATATATAAAACAAACATAAGGCATATTAGCAAACAGAATCAAACTCTGGACAAAACACCACCAGCACAGCAACCAACCATAGACCATTCTACCATGGTGATAATATCAGTCAGAAATTTACCTTAACCTTCATTCCGAAAACACAGTTCCAACAAACCCAAACACAATTCTATTCCAAACTCCAAAATACATAAGAATTTTTCAAACCCAAAGAAATATCATAGTCTAAAATATTTTTAACTCATACTAACCCTAAAATGGGTATTCAAAATAGTTGAGATTATTCCATAATAAGTATGGGTTTTACAAAATAAGGAGAGAAGAGTTAACCACTTACCTAAAAACTTCCAATCTTAGCTATTTAGCTCGCCCAAATACTCCTTGTCAAAATCCCTAATATTTTCAAACATCAATCTTAGGGCTCCAAAGATAAACCCAACTTATAAAGAGTAAAAGATAGAGGTTAAACTCACCTAGAATACCCAATATCTTAGAGATCTAAGCTTGAAGAAGATGGAGATCCAAACTTCAAGGTTTTTCCTTCCCCTATCTCTCTCTAATTAGCTCCCCTTATCTTCTTTCAAATGAAATGTTTATCCAAGACCAAAGTGGTTCCTTAACCTTTAATGGTAAAATGGGATAATTTAGTAAATTCATCTAATATCAATTTTAATAACCTTTGACTTGTTGACCTATTTTAATAACATAGGTATATTTTTATTTCCAAGATAGTGGGTATTACAAAATTCCTTGAAGAGATACTGTACTGCTAGTTTTACTCAAAGCAACAATTTGGAATAGTATTTGTTGAAAATTGGAGAGACTTTATGATATTTTCAAAGTTTATGCAAAAATGCAGACAAAAATCTATACAAATGAACTATACAAGACAACTCTTCTATGCAAAATTTTTCTTCACTAAACTAAGTTGTATGTAGTCTCTCAAGATCTCAAACTAGAGATGACTTCAAGCAAGGTATCCTCCATACAAGGTATCGTCAGTCCACCCGTTGGATGATCAAATCTGAATTCTTTCTCAGCTTGACTAAGCAAGTCTTGGAACGAAGGGTCCTTCAAGTACGAAACTGGAATGACAAAACGCCTCTTTTCACTCTCTCCAACATAAACTGCAAAATGCCCTTTAGGCACTTCACATTCTCTGCTTGTTCTTGAAGAAGATCTCCTAAGGCCTTGCTTAGCACGGAAAATATGCCCCATACCAATTGCCATGTTCAAATATGCTTTTTGTAAAGTAGGATTTCTGAAATATTTTTCAGTATAGACACAATTTGTGAAGGCAGAAACTAGGAGTTGTGTGAAGGAAGAACTTGAGTGGGGTGAGAATCAACACAAATGCATTTATATATATAGATCCTTTAGGAGGTGGATTGAGTGGCTATGAGAAATTTGGATCAGAGGCCAGCCAGCTAGAACGATTAGACAACATCTCCACATGGTTTTGTCTTCAAAAAATCATCCAGAATTTCTACTACCTTAGGACATCTCTCACCATATGCTTCAATAAATTTGAACAGACGGGGAAAGCTCAACTACCTTTGTCATTCCGAGAAAACCTACCAAATGAGAGATCAATATACACAGCACTAAGTTAATGGTATTTGCCTAAAAAATATCTTAATCAATTTATTTGAATTGGATTGGGACACATATAACCATGTGTTTCCCTATTTGTATGTCTTGAAGGCCCCCATACAGCTGGGTGGAACGTGGTTTTGCCTTACTTGATTTCCTCAAGAAATTGAAGCACTTTAAATAGGTTTCTTCTCATCCAATTTTGATCATCAAACACTACAACTCTCTGCAGATCTTGTTCTCTTCCCTTCAATTTCTCTCTATTTCCTAAGTTAGCACTATGATCAGTTCCAAGAAGCTCATCAAGCTGGCAAAAAGATGGCAGAAATTTGCTGCCATCCGAAGAAAGAGGATTTCATTTTCAAGTCTATATGATGATGCAGATAGCTGCAGTACTTCTTCTGCGGTTAACAAGGGTCATTTCACTATTTACACTGCTGATCAGAAGCGGTTTGTTGTCCCTCTATCATATCTCGAGAATGAGATCATTAGGCAACTCTTAAGTATGTCTGAAGAAGAATTTGGACTTCCAAGCGATGGGCCTATTACACTACCATGTGATGCAGCCTTCTTGGACTACATCATTTCACTTCTTAACCGAGGTTTATCCAGAGAACTTGAGAATGCATTGCTAATCTCAGTTACTTCATATCAGTGTTCATCAGCTTCACTGCACCAAGAAGGGCTGAGAAATCAAGAATTGCTAGTTTGCTGATATTAATATCAATCATTTTTGTAGACGAGGAACTCAGTTGCTGTAGGCTGTAGCTCAACATATCTTGTGAAATGTACAGAAATTCAAAGACTTAGCTTGATATCTAATACATTCAGTGATCTTCTATGAAAATCATATTATGGTCATAGCTTCAAATTCTTCTCCAACTGTCATGTACTTAACATTTTTGGTGTTAGAAGTTGTTGCTTTTCTGTAACGATATATTCATAAATGACAAAAACCATTCAAAAGCACACTCCCAATTCTAGCTTCTACATCACTCACGGACCATTAATCCCTCAGCTGAATCGAAAGGTAAAATCCACTTTTAGCCTCTTAATTATGAAATTTGGTTCATCACTCACAGTGTAATACTCTCATACTTAATTAATACACAAGTGCAGAGTGCCTAAATTTGTTCTTGTTTGAGAATACAACACTTTAACAATTGAAGCTAAGGGGATAATCTTGTTCAAATTCAAACATAGAGACCAAATTTTATAAAAGACAATAATTGATGGACCAAAAAGTACATTTTTCCATTCTTCCCCAAGGAAATTCACATTTAAATACAGAGTATAAAGGAAAGAACATTAGGATTTCACCCTCCATTTTGGTGAAGCTCTTTAAATTGATGAACATTATAGACATGATGGATTGAGGAAGAAATTAAGCAGACAAGAATTAATAATGATTTTCCATGAAGTTATTGATTATCTCTTAACCCTATTAGTTTCAACATTTTGTTAGGATCATCTATGTTGTTTCCAGGCAAACCAGTTGTGCAGATGCTGTGCAGCCCTGGAACATGGATGGGTATGGTTTGAAAATCAGTGAGAATATTGGGGTATGAATGTGAAGATGTGCTTGAACTTCCAAATAAACTCTTATCATCATGTTTAATATCTTTTCCTTTATCATACTTTTGTAGTAAATCAATCCAAGCTTCAAAGATGAGTATCTTGCCTACAAAAGGCAAAATCCATTGGCCCGGGAGCCACCACACCCCAACTAGACTAGATTGTGGAGGAGTAAATCACGGTGACTCAGCAGTCCATTAGATAGGAGGATCAGTGTCTGGTGCCCACAAGGAGCCACCCCCATCAGAGGGTGAAACTCCCACACTGAGACTATTAGGGCTCGATCCTGCGTTGGTTGCATCCTTGCCCACAATATGCCATTCAGAGGACTATGCTGATAGTTGTGGTAATAGCCTCCTCAGTAAGCAAGGGACACTTGGCTTTCAATCATAGCTTGCATACCTAAAATATTGACTCTTCTCAAGATTATTCCTCTATCTCAACTTGCAAAATTTTCTTTTATCTTAACTTTAGTGTATACAACATGTCTTGAATTTCCTTGAAGAAAGGGAAGATCTCGAAATATATATCCAATAAATTTGATATATAAAATAGTGTCTTACCTCCATAAGTTAAATGAGATAATTTACTGCTAAGTATATTCAGTGCACAAGTTGGAATAGGAATGTAGGATTTGTATCAAAATTTGACAGACTTTCTGAAATTTTCAGCAGATAAAAATCTATACAAATGAACTCTCTTCTATGCAAAATTTTGTATCACTAAACTAAGTTGTGTAGTCTCTCAAGATCTACTCGAGCTAGAGATGATGTGAAGAAAGGTATCCTCCAAGCAAGGTATTGTGAGTCCACCCATTGGCTGATCAAATCCAAATTCGTCCTCAGCTTGGCACAGCAAGTCTTGGAAAGAAGGGTCCTTCAAGTAGGAAACTGGAATGACAAAACGCTTCTTCTCGCTCTCACCAACATAAACTGCAAAGTGCCCCTTAGGAACCTCACTTTCTCTGTTTGTTCTTGAAGAAGACCTTCTGAGGCCCTGCTTAGCACGGAGAATGCGAGTCATACTAATCGCCATTATATTCTGGGATGTTTAATTTCGATCTTCTTTAAGCAGATCAGAGGCAGTACTGTTAACCAGATGCTATAGAAACAATTTTAGAAGGTAGGTGTGAAGGAAATATTTGAGTGGGGTGAATACTAACTCAATTGTGTTCATATAGATCGTTTGGGAAGTGGATTGAGTGGCTAAGGAAGGGTAGCCAGCTAGCATGATAATTGATAAGACAACATTATCACATGGTTTTGTTTTTGAGAAATCAATCATCAACAATTTCTAAACACAGTCCCCACAAGCTACAATGATATTGAATATATATAGTGCAGTGAATTAGTCACATTCACCTATAGAATATCTCAGCCTTTTTTGTTTGAATCAATCCTATGAATGAGAAACATACACAAGTGATTCCTCATTCTTATGTCTCCATATATTTCTGATTGAAACTAAGCGGCCCCATACAACTCCGGTGCACATGGCTTTGCCTTCCATAATTTTCTCAGTAACTTATGGCTTGTCTTGGCCTCGTCGGGCACTTTAAATAAGTCACTTCCATATGTATTTTGATCATCAATGCAAGCACCAGAAGTCAGTCCAACCAAGAGCTAAGGTTTTTACTGCCTGTTCAATAGTTAGGAAAGGATTGGAGTACACTCTCCTTAAGAACTGCTCTACCCCCTCAGGATAATAACTTGCCATGCCACCCGTGGCATTTAGCCATATTCTCTTTGGGATGTGTAAAGCATGCACTTCTATTCTCTTCATTTGTCTTGACAGGAATTCTTCTGAGAGAATAAAAGAGACATATTCCCTTGCCATAAACCCGTAGAAGCATGGAAACAAACCATCTCTGAAGCCACTAATGATGACTGAATACCAAATGTTGGACACAGCTCTATATTCCAAAATCTTGATAAATCCATTCTCCTTAGAACATTAGTAAGAAATGACCAAAGAAACTCAATGATATGCTTCAAAGTAACATCTTCATCATCCCCTGAAAACTTGATTATTTTATGAATACACATTCGCGTTCTTTTGTCCTTCACAATAGAATGGAAGAGCATTATTGTATATATCCGCTTAGTGCTCGAATAATCCTCTTCAATCTGGGGTTGCTTTTGGTAAAGGACTAAAGGGTATTTACCTTATTATAGTTCAGCATGAGTTCCTTTGTTGGATCTTCCTCTAACTTTATCTCAACTTCTTGCACCCTATATTCCAATTTCCAGCTCCTCCTGTTCTATTCCATTCACTCAATACATTCCACAAAATTGTCTGTTTGTATTTCCTTGAACCTTTTTGTTTCATACCTTCTCATCAACCGAATCCAGAAAGCCTTCATAGTCATTCCAAGCAATTATAAAGGTAACTGAAATGGATTAGCAGAACTCCCAGCTGATCTAGCACAAGTTATGTGCATCAGATCAGAGAATGGTCAGAAGTAGTACTTTCTAGCCTAATTATGAACATCATCAATATGAAAAATTGCACAAGCATGCTTAATAAGCATTCCGTCAAGCCTTTTCCAAATGGCATAAGAACCATACCCTCTATTCAACCTCCTCATAGAATTACCACAGAAACGAATATGAAATAATCCACAAGCATTGACACACTGCAGGATAGCCAGCCTCTTCTGCATGTTGTCTGGCAGTCCTCCAAACTCTTTCTGTATAGTAATCCACAAAACGTAGATCTATCTTACAGCCCCATAGATCCTATATCTATCTATATGAAGAAGAGATCATGTAACAAATGGAATTCTTTTTTGTACTGCAAGTGAGAAATATCTTTAAAAGGTTCAAGGATACCAGCCTATAATTAGAGGCCAGGGTGATAATTCAATTCTTAATGAAACATTTGTCACTGAGGGATCCTTTAGTAGAAATCTCTCTAGCCTAGCATTCCAAATTATGGGCACTAATCATTTAAGAGGGGTAGCAAGCTAAGGGGGGGGATGGAGTACTTCCCTGATGGCTTTCCAAACTTGTTTGAATGTGATCTTTACTGTGTTTGGAAAACAACGACGTGCTGTCCTGGAGGATAAGATTCAACCCATTTTGCTACTGAAGCTGAAGACATCTTGTTTGAAGTGGACACAGCAGGCCGGAGTTTTCATCGTGTTCATCGTCCTGGTTGGCAAACTGTTGAATGGATAACAAATATATGTGTGAAGGAAGTATTTTAGATGGTGAATTCAAAATCAAGTGTGTATATATACATCCCTTAGAGGCCAGCCAGATAGCTTGTTAAGACACATTACCACATGGTTTTGTCTTCCAACAACCATTATGAATTTCTACTATCAACATTGCAGATAAAGACCTTGTTTGAGCATCATTCCCCACATGCTTCAATGAAATTGAATAGATAGGATGGCCTAACTACTGCTATTCCAAGAAAGCCTACCAAATGTTAGATAAGGATAAAGTGCAATAAATTGATGCCGTTCGCCTATGGGCTATCTTCATCTTCTTGTTTGAATCTATCAGTTCTATGATTGAGAAACATAAACATGTGATTCCTCAACTGTGTGTCTCTACACTTGGGCACACTTCATATCCCATATATTTCTGATTGAAACCAACTGGCCCCATACAATTATATGGCACATGGTCTTTAATTTGTGGACTATATCATTTCACTTCTTAGCCGCGGTTTATCCCATGAACTTGAGAGTGCTTTGTGTTTTTCAGTTTCTTCAATCTAGTGCTCATCAGTTTTATTGCACCAATGTCACGCTCCGCTTCTAAGACATGACCCGGCCGCATCGCTACACGAAAGCCTGTAACAATACGAAGCCTAGCCATACATACCTCTCGGAACCTTCATAACAACACTTTAATACATAATAATTCCTCACTTTGATGACCAATAAAAACAACTAGTTCTTCCCAAAAACTCACCAAATCACCACTGTTAAATATTTACAATCAAGACTAGCATGACAAAATGCATTACAAGCACCAAAACCAAGCACAATGGTTTACCAAAATACAAAGGGTCAACGGGAATATCCAAAAGAAACAAAAATCTGTGATAAGCTCCAATAGTAGGACTAAGTCTCCTAGTTTCAAAAGTCACCTTCGAGACCTCACCACTTGTGCTCGTGCTATTCACATGTCTTTAACTACTCTGAAACATGAGAAAAAAATACAAATAATGAGCTAATGCCCAGTAAGTGGTACTCCTCTCAACCCCGGATCAAGTAACCCCAATATAATACAAAAAACTTTAGAGTAATAACTAGATGCAAAACTTGATCTTTAAACTATATCGAAGTCATAATATACTCCATCATACTATACATAGGCTCACAAAACAAGAAACTTTAGCTACATGGGCATCAACAATATTTCATAAAACAATACTTTCAAAAGCACAAACCATTCCTTAACATATGACCCATTGGCAACCTACAACCACCATTATATTCTGTCGCACATGCCATTATCGATATAATGGTCCAAAAAGACTCGACGATTCGGAATGAGTCAGGCTCGACGATTCAGAATGAGCCGGATGGAACGTTCCAACAAATAATTCAAAAGACTCGATGATTCGGAATGAGTCAAGCTCGACGATTCAGAATGAGCATTTAGGAACGTTCCAAGCCAAACAAAACAAACAACAAAATGTAGGTTGCCTCATGAGTTTAATCAAACACTCAAAATAGTTCTTATAATCAAATAGCCCGATGTAGCAAAAATCATTTCCTTAAAGTCACATAACAAAGTACTTATTTCCAAAATAGATAATAAGTTTATCAAACTAAGAAATATGCAAGGTATAAACCATTTTCAAAATAATAATTTTCTTAGTACATAACTCTTTAAAAATCATAGAATGGTTTATTAAACCAAAGTAATTTCAAAGGGATTGAAATGGTTTAGTTGGAAAGAACTTAAATTAATAAGCATGAGGTTAAGAGTTCAAGTCTCACTTTAAACAAATATTTTATTTTATAAGCATATATTACATATATAGAACAAGCACAAGTCATATATTACATATATAAAGCAAACATAAAGCCATATTAGCAAAGCAGAATCGAACTCTGGACCAACCGCTACTAGCATAGCAACCATAAACCATTCAACCATCACTACACATGGTGTTAATTTTAGTCAGCAATTTAGCTAAACCTTTATTCCGAAAACACAGTTCTAACAAACCCAAACACAATTTTAGTCCAAACTCCAAAATACATAAGAATTCCAGTCCAGACTTCAGCTTAGCGTTTCAAACCCAAAAAAATATCAATCTAAAATATTTTTAACTCATACTACTCCTAAAATGGGTATCCAAAGTAGTTGAGATTTCAAAATAAGTTATATATATGGGTTGCAAAATAAGGAGAGAAGAGTTAACCACTTACCCGAAACACCCAAATATTAGCTATTTAGCTCACCCAAATACTCCTTGTCAAATTTCCTAATATTTTCAAACATCAGTCTTAGGGCTCAAATGTTAAACCCAACTAAAAAGTGAAATATGGAGGTCAAACTTACCTAGAATACTCCAATAACTTGAGACCTAAGCTTGAAGAAGATGGAGATCAAAGCTTCAAGATTTTTCTTTTCCTCTATCTCTCTAGTCCACTCCTCTTATCTTCTTTCAAAAGAGATGTTTATCCAAAGACCAAAGTGGTTTCTTAACCTTTAAGGGTAAGGAAGGGCAATTTAGTAATTTCATCCAATATTAAATTTGGATAAGCTTTGACTTGTTGACCACATTTAATAAACATAGATATAATTTTATTTCTAAGATAGTGGGTATTACAACCAAGGATAGAGAAATCAAGAATTTCTAGTTTGCTAAGTTTTTTTTGTTTTGTTTAGCTTTTCTTTCTTGCTAATCCAATAGCTTATTTGTTCACTTGAAATGTATATAATACTGAGACTTCATATCCACTGCATACAACAAAATTTGTACACATTTTTTTCTTTGGATTATCCAACCCCCACACATGAAATCCACATTTTGTTCTTTGCTCTCCTATTCCAACATATATAGCCTTGTGGTTCTTCATTTCTTTGGCACAAATGCACAATACCGACATTTATTGTCCAAAAATGATTGTCCTTTTCTCTGTCTGTAGTCATTGCTGTGTTGCACCATGTCATAAGCTTTTGATACAACCCGGAGGTTGTATGGGTTGCTTTTCTTCTAGTCAAGAGCTAAACTCCAGAAAAGGGGAGAGGAAGAGACATGGCTGTGCTTCGAGTGATAGCCTAACTCCAGAAAAAGGAGATACGAGAAGAGAAAATTGTCATTTTATTCTTCAGTGCCTTATACATTTGCATAGGTAGCTATATATATAAGAACATATAAACCACCCACTAACCAACTACTTTACTAAGTGTAATACATGACCATGAAATGCCTATATTAGTGGTTATCCACTTATCCCATATAATAATAATAATAATAATAATAATAATAATAATAATAATAATAATAATAATAATAATAATAATAATAATCCATGATTGTATCAGCTTTACTGTTGTTTTCTTTTATCCTAGTTGTTAAGTTGATTATTATTACTTGTTGTGTTGACTGGTTTCATACTTCCATTATTGTTTTTCTCTAGTCATGTTTACGGAGAATTCATCTATCCTGCAAAATCCACACACTTCAAGTAGTGCGGTTGGTGAAACTAATGAAACTAATAATGAGGTGCAAGAACTAGAACAAATTGCAGGCAGAGACGGAGGCAGTATGGGGGCAGTGGGGGCAGCTGCCCCCACTTCTTCCACCCCACCCCTTTATATATATGTATGTATATATCGACATATATAGCATTAAATGTTATATAAAATTTATATTTATGTTTAACTTACAAATGGTTAAAGTAGCTTAGTTGGTTGAATTTTAAATTTAATTTTTAAAAAAGTGTATGGTCATAGGTTCGAATCTCATTCAAAAACCATTTTCCTTATCTTCACTTATTTATTTTATATCTTTCTTTCCTTCTCAAGATAAATATTTTTTAGTCTACTTTTATGAATCATTTAATTAACAAATTAAATGCTCTTTTAGTCTACTTTTTATGAATCATTTAATTAATGTAGTATACAAGTTTATATTATACTTCATTTTATTCAAATTATTTTATCTTTTTTTTTAACACAGAGAGCTAATAACGCCTCAACTGAGGCTCGAACTTACAACCTTCCAAATGAAAGTCCAACCCGGATACCATTAGACCACATAGTCCTGGTTTCAAATTATTTTATCTAATTGATTATGTTTCATATTTTGTCATAAATATTTTTACATTTTCACCTCACTCAAGTATATTTTTTGCTCCAACTCTAACTATCGTTTAATCTATAAAAAATATTCTATTGTAATTTATAATATATTTTGTATTTTAACCTTATTATGACTATTTGATATTTCGTAATTGATATTTCTAACCATCATTTAAACTTCGCCCCCGCTCAAGTATTTTTCTGACTCCGTCAATCAGGTCTTTCTTTGATTTGAAGTTTAAATCAAGGAATCTAGGACCAATGTTGTTGTAGACTTGTAAATGATGTAAAGTTGTGAACTTGTTTTAAGTGCTTTAAACTTTAAAGTTTGGGCTGTTGATTTTTTAGAAGTTTTTATTACTCCGTATTTATGTATGGGTTCAAGAATTTGTATTATTAGTTGAAGCATGAAGTTCAATATGGAATGTATATATATTAGGTAGCATGTGGATTTATAGGGATTTGAGTAGGCAGTCATAAGGAAATATAATTGTCTTTTTTCCTTCTTAGAGGTCTTCTAGCATGTATATATAGGGCTGTGTTACCTGTGTATTCATTTTCTATTAATTTATTCAAAAATCTTTTCTTCACCTTCGTACATGGTATCACAGTCTTTATGAAATACAATTTTTTTTCTTGATATGCTTTTGTCACGCCCACCTAGGTAAGAGCGTCGGTATTCGGCGATCGTGTCTGGAAAATCCAAAGCCGTTCTGGCCAGCGCATGAGGTTCATGTGCCATCGCCGTCCGCTACCACTCTCAATCACTATTGCAAAAACTGTGCCTAGGCGTCAGCCGGCCGCTTAGCGTATCACTATAATCCGTGGTCTAGGTGGTCGGCCTCCTAGGCGCTGACCACCTAGGCTATCTAGGCGTCGACTAGGCCACCTAGTCAGCCAGTTATCTATTGTTTTTTGTTTTAATTGATTATTTCACTCAAAACGATGTCATTTTGATCGAAATAATCCTAATCATTCGAACCCTACTTGTTTTTAGTACCATGAGTATGTACAAGATGCCTCTAGGAATTTTCTATATAACCGTTTTAAATCTTAATTGTATTACCTTCTTAATTTCTACTAGTATTTTCATCCGTGCAATGCCAACATTACTAAGAAACAGATTATGCACATGCATGCATGGACAGTAGAGCAATCTCATTAGTTCATTTTCCTTTCAAGTTCACTATACTTATTAGGTATTTCCACATAGCATATAGTCAAACTAACTTCCTTTCTAAATAAATAAATAAATAAATAGTCAAACTAACTAGACCTCAGATCTGATGACACTAATTAGTGAACAAAATATGAAGCATGTGTGAATGCATATTGGGTTCAATAATGAACTAAAAAACTGGAACTGGAAGTTAGGCTTCTAAAAAGTTATTAACAAACTGAAAGCACTTTACAATAAAGCATACTAGATATTTGAGGGTAATGAACGACAAGTATAATATTTACCACTTCAAGGATAAATAAGGTACATAAGAAACTAATTGAACATTAGCATGAGACTATGATATGTACCTGAACACCTTGTTTGGCCTTTGCTTCCATTAACAAATCAAGTTGAGAAGATAAATGACTCTGAAAAGGGCGTCGCAGATACAGCTCTCGGCAAAGCCACCAGACACATATAAATATCTGCACTCTCAATTCAAGGACAGAATTGCCATTGGATTTCCTAAAGCCAGGAAATCCAGTAGTCATACTTGTTGAATCTAGGAATCTCCAGGATTCTGTATAAAATTGGCCAGAAGTACAATAGTCAAATTAAACATAATAGCAAGAGATAAACTGGTTATACAAGAGAAATTTAACATTATTTTTCTCTTGCTATTCCACTCACTAGTGAACAAGATAATGCAGTAATTTAAATATATCAACTCAAAATATTAATTAGGTATTATCATTAGTCATTACAAATACAACAAACAATAAAGAAAAAAAAAAGATCACTGTTACAGTTAACATAATGCTAAAGACAGAATAAAATAATTATATCAAGATAAATACAATTAATATTTTTAAGTCCAAATATAGCATAATGAAACCAGCTGCACAAACTAAAGTTGCCACCAATCTATTACTCCTTAAATCAAACAACCAAAATGAATATCATATTAGTTTTTCATATTCCAGGCACTAATAAGAATTGCATTGTAAAGAAATGTAATATATATATATATATATATATATATATATATATATATATATATATATACTAGAAGAAATTCATTCAACAAATCCATTGCACTGTCTTCGAAAAAGCATAGAAATCTATGTGAAGTCGATTGTCCCAGTGTCGATGTCCTAGGGATGTGAAGAGAAAGAGGAGGGAAGCCACCCCGCTAGAAACTGGGCACCCACGAACATCTCTTAAATTGAAATGACTTTGTCACATCTTGTTTGCCACATTTGCTCTATAATATGAAGAATGCCATGCATTTGATTCCTATGCCTACCCTCACATTAATTTTCCATTTAAGTGTTAAGTATCTTGTGAAACACATTTTAACACTTATGTTTTTACTTGATTCACATCTTGCTTGAGGACAAGCAAGGCTAATGTGTGGAAATTTGTGATAAGTGTTAAATTGTGTCACTTTTATGGAGAATTTAGGAGTCATATTTTGATATAATTAGAGTCTTTTGAGCTTATTATGTATTTAAGATAGCTTATTTTGATAAAAGTTAGGCACAAGGACCATTTGTGATTATTGTGGAAAATAGCAAAATACTAACATTTTCAGGACATTTCAGCGACTGTTTGGTAAATTGAGCACATAAGGATCTAGGGATGTCCAAATGAGGTGATTCAAGTGGCATTGCATCAGCATTTCAAAGATATACAACTTCATGCAGACCACAAAGGACAATTCGGACGTCTAGGAAGTCAAAATCAGCAAAGAACGCGTCAGGATACCCAGTCACGTTGGGCGTCACGCCGTGACAGGCAGCGTGACAGGACACCTGGTCAAGAATTTAAGGCAGAAAAATTCAGATTTGATGGATTCTCCAATTCATTCATCTTGCAACTTTCTCTCACTATGTTTTTAGGTTAGATTAGGTTAGAATTTTCTCTTCCTTCTCTCTAGAAATTAGCTCTCAAATACTCTCCATTTTGTAAGAAGAAGAAGGTGGTCTTCATCTTCACTTGATTGTTTTGTAATTTTGACATTACAAAGTGGGTAATCTCTTGAGATCAATTCTTACATTGCTTGATTTAATGATTATGCCTATTTTGTGTATGTTGAGATTATTAAGCATGAATATGAGTAGCTAAATTTCTAGGGATTAGGATTGTGGGGTATATTGCATTTTGTGATGATTAGTTTGATTTGATTTGTGATATTGTGGTGATTGAATGTTGTTGGCTTGCATGTCTTGTTAGAAGATGAATGTTTATAATGACTCTTGTGTGTGAGTGCACCACATGCTTGTAGG